AAACGTTATCGCCGTGAATTTACTATAAAAATAAACCAGTTTCTCTGATTTTCCTAAACGTAGCCAATTCGATTAATAGTGACCTTCAATGTGTAAAGTTTACGCAAACATTTTATCAAACCTGTTCTTGCATATTACGATCGACTATTAAATGCATGAACATTACAGTCTTTATGGGACATCTTTTATATAAATGTATATGAACCCGCCAAAAACGTAAGATCACGAGTTATGTTCGGTTTTCGTTCTATACTTTTATTTCCATAACTGTGTACTTCTTGGATTTTGGATAAAGATTTTCCGGGTTGAAATTGAAAGTTAACTGGGTAATGTAATCCTTCAAAATCAAATATTCTTTTGAATCGAATTTCAAAGTTTTCATTAACTCTTTTAGGCCTGGTCTGGCACGTGAACATTATTCTTTTCTGGTTTGTAGATGAAACTTCAATAATTCATTAAATTCTTATGGTTCTTCAACTTAATTTTCATTCAAAGCTTCAAAGCTTCATGAGTCTTCAGACTGTTTCATTTAAGGCTTCATAATAAGTCTTCAGACTGTTTCAATTAAGGCTTCATAATAGTCTTCACGCATATTTTCAATTAGAGTATTGGGTTTTTTTTTCTAAATTTTTTTGAATTTCTTTCTTTCACCTTAAAACGGAAGAAACCGCTTCTTTTGATTAACTTTTCTCCTTTTCCTGGTTCTTTTTCAATTTGGGAAGCCTTCTAGTTTTTTTTTTTTTTTTTTTTATGCTTTTTTTTTTTTCTTTTTTTTTTTTTTTTAATCTTCATTACAAGAACTTGCTTATTTTCAATGTCTGAATCATCACGCATATTTTAAAAGTTAACATGTTAAAAAGTTTTAAGATCGAGTAATTTAACTATATTATGCTTAGATTTGGATTTATTAGATACCTACTTGCAAAGAAAATCAAAGAAAAAGAAAAAGGGGATAAACACAAGCAGCAAAAGAAAAGCCAAACCCTTCAATTATGCATAAAAGGAAGCATATCTTGTATAGACTTGACAATGCAATGTGAACATAGAAATACTATCATTGGCCTGAGATTTTGCTATTCTTCATTCTTCAAAAGGACCATTTCTCTTTTTCGTTCTTGTTCTTGCTATTTCCCGAAAAAAAAACACATATATAAAAAGATACTACAAACAACAATCCACAAATAAAAGAACTTGAAGTTTAGAGAATAAAAGTCGCCAGAAAGTCCAAATAGAAGTAAAGTCAGGATAGAGTACTATTAAGTAAGATGTTTATTTTTCAGTACAAGAAGAGCAATTAAGAGAATGTAGAATATAATTATCCAGTACCAAATAAAAATACTCACCTATATTCAGCGAGAGTAGCTACGGGATCTTCTAGTGCGGCTATACGATCTTCTTCTACTCCTTGAATGACTGCGGCTGCGGGTTCTTCTTCTATCCCTTGACCAGCTTCGGCTCCTAGAGCGTGAAGGCGTTCTTCTTCTATAGCGTGGTGGTGGGCTGAAAGAAGGCGTCCGACGATAAGTGTTTCCACGGAAACGTGATGGTCTATCACCCATATATTCACCAGGGGTCGGTGTATGTGGTCTCTGAGTCAATGAATAATCTACACGCATATTTCTTCCATTGAGTTCCTATAATATGCGCAATTATAACATTATATACAATTGTAAAGAGATTGCGAAAATAATATAATGTAGCTTATATGTAAACGTACCATCCCATTTGTTTTTTCCTTAGCAATAGTTGCTTCTTCGACTGAATTCATGTAGACAAATCCAAACCCACGAGAACGATCGCTCTGTTATACGATAAACAATTGCAAATTACTAATCTTTTCTTTAACTCTGTATCCAAGAAATGAGGATAACGTACCCGATGATCATAAACAATAGTCACTTGGTTAACCCTTCCGTAACGTTCAAAGATAAGTTGTAAATCTTTTTCAGTAGTCCTAAGACTAAGGTTGAAAACACCTAAAACGTGGCTAGGATCAGGTTCCTATTAAAATTATTATTAGTGAATAAGCTAAATAAGTATAACTAACGCGGCTTGTGTCGAACTTACGTCTCTACGACTCACTCTTCTTCTTCCTCCACGACTTCTATCGCGACTTCTGGATCTAAAAGTAAAAAAGATTTAAATTTCTAAAAGTATGTCTTGTTTAACGTGGTGCAAAAGTAAACTTTACCTTCTTCTTCTTTCTCCTCCTCTAGAAATACTCCTGCTTGAAGAGCTTCTAGAATATGAGCGACGTGTAGGTCGCCTAGAGGCACGTGGTTTATAGGGACTTCGGCTGCGTGTACTG